AGTCCTGCCCTCATACTTGCTCCCTGAACACTTAATCTACCACCTACAACTTAGGGTCGACTGCTACTAAACTGCCGTTTCCAAGCTGCTGTCACTACAAATTGCAAGTTTGCTTGGTGGCCAACCAACTATTTTAGGACTGCCAACAGTCGTCCTCAGGAAATGTTTAATGCCGCAAGCAGGACGGCGTGACCACCAAGTCCAGCAAGGTCTCCTCAAGACTTACAGACGCCTTGCTGCCTCTCACTATTCAGCCGCATGGCCGTTTGTATTGGTCATTGGGCTAGACGAGCGTCGTTCGCTTATGCCTGTGCTCCCAACTTTTCCTCGTGCCGTTCAACTAGTGAGTCTATACCTATCAAACCTAGACCGACCCCTCAGCCGCAAACAGGAAGGTGTGGCCACCAAGTCCAGCAAAGTCTCTTCAAGACTTACAGACCCCTTGCTGCCTCTCACTATTCAGTCACATTTGTACTGGTCATTGGGCTAGACGAGCGTCGTTCGCGCATGCCTCTGCTCCCAACTTTTTGTGGCGCAGTTCAACTACCGAGTCTATACCTATCAAACCTAGACCGACCCCTCACCGCGCTTACACAATTCAGTCATGCGCTGGTCAGTACCTGTCTTAGGGCTAGACAGGTTGTTTTATGAGCGCCTGCTGCTCATGCCCTCACTCCCTACTTAACGTGAATGCAGTCCAGCTAAGGGGTCAAAAGAACCATGCAACGACTTCAGAGACGCATGACAAGACAAACTCAAGATGACATCAACATCAATTGCAGCTGAATTCACATCAATGAAAATTTGTGTCGAGCAGCCTGAGTACTCAATACTGAGGCAGGATAGTACGGATACGGGTGCGCTAGGAGAATTGCCAAGAGGATGGGTAAGGAGGTGGTCTTACGGATCATAAGGGAGTGTCAGGACAGCCAATAGCTGTGGCATTAACCACGTGTGTCCAGAGTGTGACTTCTTTTTCTTTCTTTTTTCCCCCCCCCCCTCAAATCACGGGCCCTAGAGTGTGACTTCTACAGCAACCTGGGCTTTATTTTTATTTTATTTCATTTAAAAAAAGGGAAAAGTCCAGCAAAATTCAAGAAACCACAGTTACTCGCCTCTGGTTGGGGCTGTGCATGACATCCCGAACAGACGGAGGTTCGGAACCCGCACAGCCCACGTTCCGCCCAATGTTGGCTTTTTTATTTTTCTTTTCTTTTCTTTTTAGTTTCTTTTTTTTTTTTTTTAATGGGGTAGTGGCGGG